TTTTTCCCTTGACAAATATTTACGAGCCTTTAATAAAGCCAGAGATAGAAAATATATGCATAAAGTTGGGAAATAGGAAATATTATCGTTACGCAAGTGCTTTGGGATTTTTATTTGTTTTTTTTGTTGCTTTTTTTCTACCGGAGATATTTGAAGCGAATAAAAGCACTTATATTTACCGCTAGTTATTTAACTAGCTGTTTGCTGGCAGCTTCGCAGCAACAACAAGGCAGCTGATGTCCTGTAGGCACCACCCAACGCCCACGTTCACTTGTGGCATTGTTTTGTCCTAATGCTTGTCGAGTCGGTTTGGATTTCGAGTTCGAGCTCGGCAGGTCGCGTTCGTTCAAGCATTGCTCTATTGGTTTTCCCCTTCGATGCGTGCTAAAAGTGTTTTTCTTTCGGCAGTGTGGGTGCTGGCAGGCACCTGCGGAAACCTGAGTAAACAGCAGCAGAAGGAGGAGAAAGAGTCATGGCAGCAGCAGCAACAGTGGCAATAAAAACAACAACAACAACAACAATGACAGGCACTTAAAAAGCGGGACGCTTTGAACTTGACGCTGTTGGCCGTTGTATGTTTTTGTTGGCAATGTTATTGCTACGCTGGCAGGCACTTTTCGCCGGGGTTTGTTATTTGGGGCGGTGCGGGGGCGTGTGGATTTATTTCGGCTTTCGATATAGTTTCAAGGTTATACTCTGCTCAGCAAGCGTGCATCCTGTCAAGTGCCTTTGAAGTGGTCAGCCGGATGCCGTCGACTTCAATCTATTGAAAATTAAATTTGCATTTGTATGAAATGAAATGCAAAGCGCGCCACGTATTCGACCGCAGCAAAGGCTAAATTGCACGTCGATGTAATTACTCTAATGGCATTTGACTTCTGCAATTTAGTAGTCGCTGGTTAATGCCAAGCAATCTCTAGCTTTACAGAAATCAATCCATCGATATTGTTAGTTAAATGAAATCTATCCTCCTCAGAAAAGATAAGTAAATAATCCACAACTGCTGTTCAAAATGTATCAAAATGCATTCTCTATCTGCATTATGCGGAGCTCCCAACTATGCTAAAATTAATTAATTAATTCCACATTTTGGGAAGCCCATTCAAAGCAGCAGCAGCAGCAGCAGCAGCAGCAAAAATCTCATACATGCAAAAAGATTATCAGAGCAGCTGGTTTTGGTCCAGCTGGTGCATTGAGAATTTAAGGGCCGCCAGTAAAGTGCTGCAACTACTAGTATAAAATATTTGCAATTTAATTAAACGAAATTAAACAATCTTGCCAGCATTTGTGCAAACATGTGTGCCAATTGTGCTTGTAATCTAAATTTGTAAGTTTGCCATCTAAGAAGCAGAACTAGCAGTAGCAGCAGAGGAAGGAGCAAAAGTGGAAATAGTCTAAGACGAAGATGTTGCTATAGCTACACAGCTACCTCTACAACTTGTGCTGCTTGGCTGCAAGTTTTTGGATTCGTTGCTGTTGCTGTTGCTGTTGCTGTTGCTGCAGCTTTTGTGGCAATTGGTGGCAAGTTTCTGTGAATGTGTCTGCCTGGCGGCAGCAGCACAAAGGACCCAAAGAGAACCAGTAACAGTTGCATGTCCTGCAAAATTCAAACAAAACTGAGCAAAATTGGGAAGGAAGCAATAAATGCAAAGTAAAGTTTTGTTTCTAATGACGTTGATAAAGGCACAGAAAAATGGCAGAACAAGAAAACGAGAAATCAAACTAAATGAAACTCTAAATCGATATTTGATATACCTTACTGCAAGTATATATATACATCTAGAGGGAATGCAAAATATTTGCATTAAATATTCGCATGGGCAAAACTTTTTAATGAATTTATTTTCTTGGTGCCATTAAAACAAACAACATTTTCTTGTTTCGTTCTCTCGCAACTCCTTGGCCCCGCTGCTCGCACTTCTTTCATCTGGCTAAATTTACGGCGTTTGCCAAATGGCACCGAAGAACAAAAAGAAGAAGAAGAATCATAAACATGCAACTAAATGGGCAAACACAGTGCAAAATTTACAACAAAAGTTAAATCCAGTGCGCAGCTCCAGGTGTGGCCATAATTGAAATAAACGCGCTTTTAGTCCAAACAGGTGGGCAGGAGCCAACAACTGATGCATCAGAGGACGACCCAATTATATTACAATGAACTACAACAAATAACGCGCCAGCTGCTAGCTCACAAACGATAGCCCCTGCCCGATAAGAGTCATATCTTTCCATACTCAATTGCAGCTAATTAGGCTAAGTCATTGACTTTTAATGCCTTACGAGCGTAACATAATTAAGATGTCTATCTCGGAAGCCGCTCAAATGCATATGAATAAATATGCCAATGAGCAGTTACCAAGCCTTGACCCACAGCTAGCCTGACTGCTACTAGATAGTAAATGTTTACTTGAATCACACAATTCAAGTGGAACATAAAATGCGTATGTTAGGTACATATCACTCTATAGAGTGGACCACTGCTATTAAAATTCTTGATTCATGCATTCAGTTCACTTTTAAATAATCAGAGCTATTTACTTTTTTACTGAACAATTTATCAGTAAGACAAACATGCTCTCATCTTCTCTTGATCAATTGCTTGAAATGGTTTGAGCAGGCAGCAAGGTGAGCTTGCTTATTTTCTGGCAACATTTTAAGGCACATTTGTCTTCGAAACTCAATTAAAGTAAATTGCTTACAAAATAAACACTCTACAACTCATTAACCTGAGAGTAACTTAACAATGTTGTTATACTCGTTCATGTAGCTAATATAGTATATTGGTTTCGTGCAAGGTCAGTCTTGCTGTTCGCCTGTGACTGAAGCCACTATACTCTATATTATACATAACAGATCGGAATATATGCCCGTTGGTACCTTCGTCTCTACCCTCTAGGGACATGACTAATTGGAAAATACCATATCTAGTTTAATCGTAGTATTTTATTTAAAATTTTATAGGATTGAAAGTTGGCATATTTTTTAATTGCTTTTCTTATTTGCAGTCTGTCTTATACTAGACAATAAACAAATTTGTTAACAATAATATCACGTAACCGAATGGCTTAGGCTCAATCCATATATTTATCTACTTTACATATTTATCTATTTCTGTGGGGTAGGTCTAGGACATGTTGCTTGAGTCATCCAGTAGTCTTAGTGCTAGAGCATTGTCGAGGTTATGTAGCTTATTCATGTATCTGTTTGCATATAGTTGTATTTCTTCTTTAACAAGGGGCAGCTTAACATCTTTGTGAATATTATAATTAGTTACGTATAAAATATAAAGTGAAGAACAATTGTAAATTGTAAATTTTAGAAGCATTAAAACCCGAAGAGTAAAATTAAGTAAAAGAAATGAACCAAATTGGTAAAAACTGTATCTGCTACAGTTTGACAGCTAGAAACTTGTAAATTAATGACAAAGTTATAGTTAAGCTTCTCTATTGACTTACCAAAAATTATATATATTTATACTTAACGTCCCGATAAACTAAATAAAATGTTATGTTCCAAGGTTTTAGAGCTTGAGCTACAATCACTGCAGTTGCATCATATGTAACTCCGTCTCAAGACTTACCAAAATGATTTTTGTAACATGAACGGGTATTGTGCAGTAGGCAACAGTCTTAGCTGTTGTTATTAGAAGAACATGATTTCTAGCCAAACTCAAGCAAAACAAAAAGCTTACAAAGCAAACACCACACTACAGCTCATTAGCGTGAATGTAAGTGAAAAATGTATTTGTTATCAGAAATATAATTGATTAATCCCGGAGCGAGAATTGTCTGATGTCAAATCGTTTGCAACTTTGATAATATTTTGTAATAACATTGACTTCAATATTATCGCATGCATGCAAATTATAATTCGTGTCCTGTGGCTTGCCGGCTGATTGCGAATTGTGAATTCAGAGCGCACATCATTTGTATTAATTTGAATGCCTGCTGTCGCTGGATTTCTGTTTACAAGCTGATAATTTGACACGCAAATATTATAAAGGCATCACATTGCCGTGTTGTCGTTCAATTAATTTATAATAAATAAATAAGTAAAAGTTGCGATGCCAATGCAAATATGAGACACTCATAACTCTGCCTGTCAATATGTGTTAAAATCATTTACACACAAATGCACACATGCACACACACTTACACACGAATGTCTGCTGTGGGCCGACATAACACATTTAATTAATTTAATATATATATAATAAAAGTAATGTTTAAGCAGCATTAATGCCGTTAATTTGGGCTACTTTTCATTTGCGTTCAATAAATTATGAAGGTAAAAATGAAAATGACAAGACGTTTACATACCCTCTAATATAAATGCCAATTATAAAAATGATTTTTGTTGCATACTTTTGGGCTTGGCCACATTTGGAAGATATCTAAAGGAAATAGGCTTATTCATTGAAAGCAGTTAAAAGCAGTTCATGGCAAAGCAGTTAAATAGAGTTTGATTAATTTAAGTAATTGCTAGAATATGAAAGCAGATTTTGCAAACAAGGCAGGCAAAAGGGACAGCTAATACATTGACTGAAGACAGGCCACATCATCTGGTCATGTCATGCCTACGGCACACAGCGAAACATTTTGTCATTTTCGTGTAAGCGTCAAATGCCAAGTGAAGTCGCATTCCAAACAGAGCAAGTCGTGGGTGTGTGGCTGTGTATCTGTGTGTGTGAGTGTGTCATGTCCCGTGTCAAGCAATTTACAAGTCAAAGGCACGGAAAGCAAGTTTCTGACAGGCCAAACAGCAGGAAGCTGGGCCGTTTATCGTTTGTGCTCTACGGCAAGTAAAAGGAGACGCATTCCTTTCAATTTCAATTCCAAGAAATCCTCATCATCATTGGCTTAATTAATACCAAAGACGTTCAAACGCTAAGCAAGAGCTTGATTTTGACATATGAATAAGTTGTTAGACAATTCAGTTTTATTCTTCACGGAATCAGAGCAGCCGCAGCGTCTCTCAATTAGTTACCTCACACAGGACGCTTAAGTATATTTAGTTAAAGCTTTAATAAAGTGCTCGGCACGTTCTGTTAGCCAGTAGCGATTAGTGTCACGCCTATCGAGTGCTGCCTGTAGTTGAGCCTCACATTTGTCAAGGCCTCTCAATTGCTGTCTCAATTGATTGTCCTCGAGCTCTGTGATTAAATCGCCGATTATCTTATTGAGCAGGATTTGAATTTGCTTCAAACTGAATTTGCTGCTGCAAAGTAGAGAGAGAAGGGGAGAGAGAGTGAGAGAGTGAGTGAATTAAATTGAATATACTCAGCTTACTTGATTGCTTTGGCATGCTGCAGAATGTAATCGGCGATCTGTGTTGCTATATGCTTGCGTTCCAGAGCCGATGTTACAGTTTGCACATAATAATCGTAGGCGAGCTTATCAGTTGCCTGCATTAAGTAGTCCAAAAACGGTTTCAACTGACCAAAATCTCGACTACAGCCAAGGGCTGTGGCCCAGGCACTCTTTTTAGGATCATCATTCGTGTTTTGAAATTGTTCGAATATCGACTGAAAGAGCTTATTGTTGCCCTGTTCAATGTTCGTACAATCCACAATGCCTCGATAGTCGACAGGCACCTGCATGCTACGTAGATATAGCTCGTCATCGTGTCTGAAGCGGTCAGCCCGACTAATGCACTCGGCCACATCATAACGACAGGACTCCCTATAGGCCAAGCGGTAGAGGGCAATTAATGGACTTGACTTGGTTATTAACTCCACAGAGCTCAGCTGAGGAGCACGGACGAAGAGTGGTGTCACTAGCTTTCTCATGAAGATCTGCAATGGATGAGAGTAGATAATACCTAGTTATATCGTAGATCATTTGAATAGTTTACTCGAAAGATTCTTTCTTGTTCGCCTCTCAGCAGCACCCCACGATTGTTGAGCACACCAAGGACTCTGTTCCAGGGCAAAGGTTCAGACTCGCGCGGCAAATACTCCAGCATAGCGAAGGCCAGGTCATAGCTCTGCTCTCGGTTGGAGGACAGCATTAAGAGATCGTCCAGCAACTGGGCTCGGTTAAGAATATGAATAGAGTCATACTGATCAGAATTGAGTGTTTTGATAATCATTCGCCAATTGCGCTCATCGTAGTTGACACGAAAAAGGCTATTCACTTGGGGATTCAGCATGATCCACTCTTTAGGGGAGGAATCATTGGTTAGCCGCAACGTTTTCCCACTACTTGGACACTCAAGCCAAGACTGGGGCTGAGTTTCGTTAAAGTTCAGTTGGCGTTGATTGACAAACGTAAGCGGGATCCACCAGCAGCTGTGCTCCACGCTGTCAGCTGCAAGCTTGAACCGAGTTTGATTCAGCCAGACAGTATTTGAGCTATAATTCCTAAGCACAGTCAGAAGCGGATAACCCTTTTGCAATGTCCAGCTGTCCATAACGGTGGCCCAACGAATGTCCGATGCTGAGGGGCTCTTTAAGTCCGCCGCCTCTTGCAGGGCCTGCCAGAGATCCGCCTGCTTAACACTGCCATATGCATGCCTCTTTAAGTAGCTCCGTATACCAATATAGAAGACCTCATCGCCCAGCAATTTGTGCAGCATGCGCATCGTTAGTGATCCCTTTTCGTACACATGTGAAGAGAACTGGTTCAGTATGCTGTTGGCATCCTGTACATCCTGTGAGATAGCAATTGTATCGTTAAACATATCCTTATAGAAGAATGTATCCAAATCGTTAGCTATTCCGCGCTGCAGGCTGCCCCATTCAGGCATAAGAGCATCGAGGGTCAAGTAACCGAAGTACGTGGAGGGACCCTCTTTTAGCCAAAGATCGTTCCACCAATTTAAGGCCACCAAATTACCAAACCATTGATGAGCATATTCATGTGCCATGGTTCTAGCCTTGCTCTCTTTATTTTGCGTTGTCTCCTCAGCGTAGTGGGCAAATCTTGTCTCCTTGAACGTGACCAGGCCCCAGTTTTCCATGGCACTAAATTTGTGCGTTGGCAAGGCCAGCTGATCAACCTTCCCCAAGGGAAATGCGAACTGAAAGAGTTTCTCCAAATAGCTTAATACTTTCGGTGCAAAATGCACACTGAAACTGCTATCTTTAAGAGCATTTGGTGGCATCCAGCTGCGAAATGAGACGTTGTTGTGAGTCTCGCTCTGCAGGACTGGCACGCTGGTTAGATTGTGCACGGCATAAGCCACAAGATAGGTGGAGGTGCTGAGCAGTGGTTCATGCTCGCACCACACATAATGCTCAAGTGTTTCACTGAAATGGGAAATGAGAGTTCGAGTCACAAAAGATCTTTTCGTAATAGCCAAAGACTTACTGATCCACACATTTACTGACGGGCGTATTACTTAGTCCTGTATAGTTCTTATGATAGCCCAGAGTAATTCGAAAAGTGGCTCTCAGATGCGGCTCATCAAAGCAAGGAAAGGCAAGTCGTGCGAAAGTTGGGGAAAATTGAGTTGCCGCCAAGTAGCTGAGAGAAAAATACGAAATATAATAATTAATTATATATACATATATATATATATATATACATATACATAAATATATTTATATATAATATATAATATGCAAAAAAAATATATTAATTTATTGTCCGATTGCTTTTATACCCACTGTGTTTGGTTCGTCCTTGCGTCGCTAAAGGAGCTCGAGTAGTAGCCCACATTATTGGCATTTAACGGAGCACTGAAGGGTATGCTCAATGTGTACTGCTCATCGATCTGCAATTCCCCAGCCAGATGCATAGTGTACAACTCACGAGTGTTATTTCGCTCAATGCGGCTTATGCTGTAACTTCCACTGCCATTTGGCGATGGTGACAAAGTGATGTGTGCTTCATCTAAAGTCAACTCCTTGGCATGCAGTGTTATAGCTCTTGTGCGATGCAGCACTTTGAAATCGATCTTCACATAGCCCTCGAAACTCAGATTGTGGGCTCCATTCAGACGGGTTAATATACGTAGATCATAGTGCAGCGGCTTGAGTGCATTGGGTAAACGATACGAATTATCGTGCGATAGTACGAGCGCAGGCAGCAAAAGGCTCACAAAGTAGCGCACTAATTGTTGCATGCTGTGTTGAGTATAAAGGAAACAGGTTAGAAAGCTCTTGTCGGGAGTGTCCGACTACGAGATACCCTGAACCCGGGCTAACATACAAATGTTGCTATACATATAGAAAGCTCACGCACTACACCAACACATATATAAGTAAAGCAGCTCTAATCGGGACTGCTCGACTACGAGCTACCCTGATGCTCAACCTGAGTGCATCTGTACATAAATATACTCAGAACACGCGCAATAGTAAACGGTCGCTCATCTGAGTTCGGCAGCTCTAGTTGGGTCTGTCTGCTGATTATCTGCATGATAATTTAACTATATACATACATATGTAAATACTGATTAAGGAAATGTATGTCATTTCATAGAACTTGACTCACTCTATTAGTTTACTTGAACCTACATCTGGATCTCTTTACAAAAAGGCAGCACTCTTTGGCCAAGACCATGATCTTTATTCAACTATAGTTACCAAGGCAAGATTGATAATGAGAGATTTGAGTCAGAGTTCTGTTTGTTATTGTGTTCAGTTTCGGCAATTTGAAATTTTATTTTTTATTTTATAACTGTTGATATGTTTAAGTTAACTCGAGCCTTTTCTTCGCCTCTTTTTCGCCAAAATCTTACAAAATGTTGGTGGCAAAATCGACATATCATTAGTCAAGTACCCCGAAATCGAGAAGTTAGTTGCATGAGCTACCGCCGACCGGGTTGGCGGCCAGCTCTGCGGTATTGGCTCAGCGGTCTGCGGTCACGCTATTGCATGTGGAAGCTGCGACGTGTGCTCGGCCCCGAGTTTGATGAATTTGACTTTTTAGTGGGCGTACGGCAGGCGGCAACCCTGATGATCGAGGCGGTGCGCCAAGCGAATTGGAAACGCATACGCAGCTGCTGCACGGATCAAGGCGCCTGTGTCATTTATCGCCTGACGCAGAACCAGCGCAATTTGCAATACACGAAGCTGGTGCGCTTCGAGAGCCAGCACCTGTGCCAGGTGATGCCCATTTCCGTGCAGCGGCTAGTCGAGCAGGGACGCCGTTATGTCTACGCGAACATTGTGTTTGTGGGCCTGCGTGACCTATGCGATTTTGCCAGTTCTAGGGAGCAGCAGGAGATGCTGAAACAGATTAGGGACGTTCTACAGGGGTCGCAGATCCCAGAGCAAATAACACCAACACATCGCCGCATTGTTCTGGGTGAATTCATGTTGACCCTGCGCAAAGAGCTAGCCGAGTCCGAAAGCGAGGAGAACGAGCCCAAAGACTGGCTGGTTGACGCCTACAATATATTTGGAGTTAAGCTGGTGAACTACAGTCCCGTAACGTTGCAGTACCGTATCATTGAATTCCTGAAACCAGTTTAAATTCCCCGAATGCTCAGCTCTAGCTGTACGGCTATTGACCGTTCGGTCACCTTATCAATTATTTCAATTCTCGCTACGTGTTGCTCCAAAAATCGTGCGCTACATCCAAATTAATAAATATTCTAATTCGGCACCGCTCAATAACACGCACGTCTGTTCAGTGGCTGTCGCCGATGTTGACTGAACGCCCCATCGACTGTTTTGCACTCTTTATAATGCTCGAATGCGCTTTTTGTAACATTTTTGGCTATACACATGGAAGATGTAGCTGAACTGCACAGTTTTTATAAATTTCATATTGGCTTTTCAATTAAATTATATTAAATCATTTATATAATCATTATATAAATGTGATGTGTGAGGGTGGCAAAGCTAATCGTCTTTTCGGCAATCTCAATATTGTATGTATCTTGATTAAAATTTTGAAAAAGAAATACTTGCAATTTAGTCCTTGAATTCCCCAGTAGAACTGGGTCTGAGGGCCTTAGACCGGTTCTAAGGTATGTGCTGGTAGGGCACTCCTGAACCCACTCATAATATGAAATTGAGGCTGTTCATATTCTTGATCAGGTTTCACAGCTCAGTTTAACTGGTATAATGGAATAAATAACAGTTAAAAATTTGAGTTTCGAAATATTGATAACGTTTTTAATTTGCAGCATTTGCCAAACTTATACTGAGAGTATGATTGAAGGGCAAGCTGAGTCACGTAATAATCGGATTTTGTAGCCATTAAGATATATATGCCTAATTATATATCTTTGTGGCTACGTGTGCCCAGGTAACTGAGCTTGCCCTTCAATCATACTCGCAGTATAACATTTGGCCAACAGGATTTGCGTTAACAGTTGCTTTACTCTGCCCCTGGCCCCTCTTGCGCCTTCAGCTGTTGGCACGCACGTTATTTTGGCCCTTTGGGCTCTGTGGAAAAATAAACTATTCTCACACTTCGTGCTCGGAGAGAATCACGCCGTGTCGCTTTCGAAAGGCACATAAAAAATGGAGGGCTTAATTAAAGAGCAAAAATGTGCTGCGATTTTCCGCTTTTTTAACGCCAAGTGCAACTGCCCCCCTACCCAACGAGACGAGGAGAAATGGACAACATTTGCAAAACTACACAAAAAAGTAAAGCAAAAAAACTCTACTTAGTGGCGACTTTTTATTTGCTGTTGTTCCTTGGCAGCAGCAGCAGCAGCAGCAGAAGCAGCAACTATTTCAAATGTGCCACGGAACGAGCTCATGTGTCTTATTGCGCCCTTTTCTTTTGGATGGTGAAACATTTTTTGTTAATTAAAGCGACGGCAAGTAATGAAAAACTCACTCAAGTGCTCATTAAAACTGAACAGTCTGTGTTTTGTCCAATAACGATGTGGGCGTTGGTAAATGCCAGTGAAATACAAAACTAATGTGCGCCATAATAGTTGACACCCTACTTATATACGTACTTCAATCGACCAGCTTAGAGATAATCGACAGCGTTATGCAGCGTCTTTCATATCTCTGTTGGGTCTTAATATTGTTAGTAAACATGGGACTTTAAGACTTTGCATGTCCCAACTATCAGTCAGTCTGTCAGGCAGCTGAGTCAGTTTATGATATATTCTAATATATAATTATAAAGTAAAGTGTTTAGTCGGCTGCACGCGACCATTAAATAAATCTAACTATATAGCAGATCCATAAGCAGACTAACTCTAACACTCGATAATCTTTTACAGCTGTAGAATATTTAAAGACTTAGTGGACTTATCATGCGCCAATAGGCATTAATATACACAAGTTGCAGGTTTATATGACGACCCAATAATCATGTCTATATAGCATGCAGGCTGATTTCACTATTGCTGAAGGATGCCTGTGGGAAGCTGCTGAGCCTCCACTCACTTACAAAGGCTTTGTCAATTTAGTCCGTGTCGTTCATGTAAATAAAGTTTAATTTATAGATGACCATTTCTGTAGAGATTCTTGAAGACAAAGAATAGAAGTTATAAGTAGCTTTGCTTGTGAGCGCGACACAGCGAAAGAGCAGATAGAGCTAAGAGATCTTATTAGAAGAGTGCCGAACAATGCCTGTATCTCTTCTTCATAAAACTCATCCAGCAAGGTTAGATGACCCCGTTGAGGTAGCTGCAACGCCCAAATTTAAAGACAGTTGATCAAGGCACGTTGGCAATCGTAGTAAATCAAATGACATCTAAATGAATTTTTCAACTCACTTACAAAAGAACAAAAAGTTATTTGTAATTTTATGCTGGAAAATGCAAAACTTTGCAGTTAAATTAACGAGTTAGAGCTCATCACACGCTGTGTGTCAAACGATGCACTCATAAGAGGCATCAACTTTGAGTGATGTACGTTAATACCAGCCTCGAAGTCCGCCTCCATGGAATCATAGCATTCATAGGCACGTGGCGCACATGGAGTTTATTTACTGACTGAATATACTTTACGGATAATTGTTATTCATTAGTTCGCACACTAATTCAATGCACATACTTATATTTCAATTCATATATATATATATATGTGTTTGTTTGTGTAAGCTCGTATATTTATGTGCCTTTATGGTGTTAAACTATACAAGCCAAATGGCGGGAATCCATCACAATTTACAGCGCAAACGGACCAAAGTTGGCAATAAAATTTAATTTATATCCTGTGGAAATGCTGCTGCTGTTTGTTGTTGTTGCTGCTGCTGTTGCTGCTGTTGTTGGTGTTGGTTTAGCCCCAGCAAAGGCAAACGCGTTCGAGTGTTTGCAAAACATTTAATTCCATTTTCGATTGCTGTGGAATGTATGCAGCCCAGTCTCAGTTGGGGTTGGGGTTGTGCCACATGGGCCACAGACTGGCATATTAATGCCATAGGGTTGCACTTGGGGGCTGGGGCTTTACAAGAATGCAATTGCAAATTCCCGACAAATTTGAAATTTGAATTGGCAAAACTACCTGACAGACAAGTAGACAGCCAGACAGACAGACACGCAGACAGACACACAGACAGACAGTCAGCCTGGCGCTAGCCTAGTGTCATTTGTAAACGTTGTCCAGCATCCACTCGAACAGCATTTGTTTGGGTTACGAAGCGCAGTCCCTCCCGCTGCTGCTCCCAGCACACTGTACACTGGATGAATCAGGGCAATTGAAGTGCTTTAAAGTGCTGCATAGCTGGCACATAAATAAATGTTTGCACATTTACTTTACCTTCTCTCTGTCTTCTACTCTATGGCTATGGCTGGTGTTGGGCATGTTGCCGCTGGCTTCGATTCGTTGCGCTTCCTGTTCCCAGCACGTTCATAACTCAACTCTGGTGCTTGTGGGTGGCCGTGCTGTCTGACGCTTTATTTGCTTGTAATTTGAAGCCGACTGTGCTGCAATCTCGATACAAATCCTCAGCAGCTCAAAAGGCAACTTGAACTGCACTGCAATGCAGCTAAAGGACTCTGAATTCCCCAGTGCAGCATTGCCATAACTTTGTATATTGTAATGGCAATACGATTGACCGAATCTGCCACAAGGATACTAACATCCATCACATGCCAGTCACCACTGCGAGTCACTAATTTCCAAATCAAACTACTTCAGAGGACCAGACGGATGCAGTAATACGACAACTCTGCTGTTTAGCCAACTAGTTGATGATGATTAGTGTCGGACGAACCCGTTCACCTAATGTGCACATTATCAGATGTTAGCCAGAGAAACGGCCTAGCTGAAAACTATAATATTCTATATAAAGTTGAGCTCAGAACTGAAACGTTTCATTACTATTCCTAAGTCTTTAAACATAACTGAAACAGTTGTCAGATATCAACTGTTGAAATTGCTTTAATGTTTAGTTGTTGATAGATAAAGCTGCTTTGCCTCCTTATTAGCCATTTCATTTATCATTATCCACTTCACTTATCCTTATATACTTAACCCAAAGAAGTTCCATTAAATTGTTCTAAGAGTACATTCCTCTTGAATCATTCAGTTTGATTATTTTTAAACTCTTTCCTAATGAAACGTTGCCAATCTCTAGAATTAGATAGGGCTCGCAAGCTCAACAAAGTTTTTTTCTGAGCATGGATTGGCATTGGAAATGGGTATGATAAGTGAAGTTATATTTGCAGTTGACAATGCTTTGACTCTTTTGCCTTTTTTTGGGGGCAGTTAGCAAAATGTCACGTAGCAAATGTGACAGCGTGGTCAACATAATGAATGGTTACCCCCACCCCGGAGCGCAGCAGCGAAAAGTGCAGCTTGGCGCAGGTGCATGTGTTATACTCACTCTGTGTATGTGTGTGGGTGACTTTTGTGCTACTATAACACATGCACTTTGGGAGTTCATGTCTCTGGCATTGATTGCCTTGGCGGCGATTGCAATAACCCAACTGCATGGCAGAGAGGGCAAAAGCGCGCCCAAATGTCACGACATTACAGCGGGCATTCGAGTCTGCTTCTGGCAACGGATCCAAAAATGTGTCCATGCACGTGACACTTGAATGCAATTTGCAATTTGATTTTCTTCCTCCTTCTTCACAGTTGCAGTTCCAGTTGTTGGCTGCATAAGTTCATGTGTCCAATTGATTTCTGCTGCTGTGTGTGTGTGGGTGTTAACTCTGTCTGTGTGTGCCTTCGTATTGGCGTCTTTACATTGTTACACTTGACCAATTCGTATTGCAATTACACACCTGAGCGTAGCCATCTGGCCATTTCCCTTCCCCTCCCGCTTCGCCTGCTCCAGCACACAGTTGACTTTTGTGTGCTGCAATTGGCGAACAACGATTTGTGTTGGCTTTGCGTTGTTTGCCAATTCGCAACTTCTCGACCAGAAATAAAAGCCAGAAGACGTTGTTTAGTGAGCCACTGCGACTCCGAGTACTTTTTAAGTTATATTCGCTTTAATAGACTCTAATGAAAAGTCCGAGTTGGATAATTACAAGTGGTTGTCATCCAACCCACTCATTACCCACTCGAATGGAGCTGCGCGTTTCCAATAAAATTGATTGCGTTTTCTCTGCTGACTCTACGAGTGTTTGCACTTAAAAGCTCCTCCAGCAGAACAGCCCTGACATTTGATTTAAATGGAGCGCTTGTAACCGGACATAGGCCAACAAGTTTGCCTGTCTGTTTATTTGTGGTTCATTTAGCTGCCGCCGCATTTCCAGCAGCTAAATGACCTTCAATGGGCTGACATCCACACGGCTAAGTGCGTATTCTACTTCATATTCAAAGGCTTCCTTCCTTCCTAGCAACAGCACTCTTGTGGTTACTCACGTGCCAAATCAATGGGATATTTCATTTTGTTAATTAACGCCGTGATAATTGAATGTGGCACCAGCTGCCAAGCTTGACAAGCACTTGAACTGAACATACTTCTAACTATAAGTAGCTTTAGTTAAGTTTAAGAATTGTCAGACATTTGCCCTGACAGCCAGCTGTGAAACTTGACTAGCAGTTTAACTGAACACGTTTGCATTAGCATAACATAAGATGTTAAAATTGACAAGAACTTTAACTGAACTGAAGTTAACTTTAAAGATTTGAATAGATGTCTTAATGGATAATAATTGTGCATGACACTAGCTGCTAAACTTGACAAGCACTTGAGCGGAGCATACTTCTAACCATAAGTATCTTTAGTTAAGCTGAAGAATTGTTAGAAATTTACATCCAGCTGTTAAACTTGACTAGCAGTTTAAATTAACATGTTTATATTAACCTAACACCTAATGTTAAGCTTGATAATATGTTTAATGAACTTTTTTGAGGGAAGGAAGTTAACTCAAAGATTTTTATAGATGTCTTAATGGATAATAATTGTGCATGACACTAGCTGTTAAATTTGACCATCACTTTTATTGAACGTAACTTTAATTGAGTTTAAGGATGGTCGTACATTTACCTTGATAGCCGGCTGTTAAACTTGACTAGCAGCTTAGTTGAAAATATTTCTTGACAAGCTGAACTTCGATTAACAAAGCTTAAGCTTGACAATAACTTTAACTGACCTTATTTAACGGTCAACATATTTCCTTTATACGGCAAATTTTGTAACCTTTAAAAATTTTGCTAGATTTTTTAACGAGTTACAATTATGCATGACAAACAGCTGTTTAACTTGACATGTAGTTAAGCTAAGCATATTACTTGATGAACAAAACTTCCGCAATTTTTAAATATTATCTTTGCTTAAGTATGACACTAGCTGTTAAACTTGATTAGCACTTTTACTGAACATATTTCTTGACAAGCTGAACTTCCATTAACTTTAAAGATGGTTATAGTTTAAGTATTATACCAAATGTCAAACTTGACAATCACTTTAACTGATTGTTTATACTTCAAGCGAAAGGTCTGTTTGTAAGTCCTATAAGGTTGCCTTTGATTTAAATTTTTACATTGACTCAGAACGTTGTGTGTTTTCATTTTCTATAGATAGAAGATTCAATTTCTTGTAGTACTTCTGGTTAATAGTTTAAAATGCCGTCAGATTTGTAAGTATGTGGATCTTAAATTAATTTGCAAATGTTTTAAATGTTACGCACAGAACCTCACTGATGGCCCGGCGGAACGTCCGGTCCACCATCACGGGGCCTAAAAACTCTGCCCTCCACAGCCTCTTAGCCCCCATCCACCAGGAGGTGCACGCGGCTCATGCCCACGCCATCATAATGCGACAGAGACGCATCCGAGAGCTATTCGAACGGGAGATGGAGCAGGTGAAAATGGAGCTGAATCGGCTAAGGCCGACTCAAGTTGGCAACAACTGTCGTTTCAGATCCACGCCGCTGGGCATGGTCTCAGTTGCAGTTAGATATATCAACCAAATTCCGTTGAGAGCAGCGGGCAACACCTTTCCAGGTAACAGTTGACAATAGAACTTGGTGTCTCGAAGAGTGCTGCCTGTTAAATGAAGTGAAATAAATGTTATTTGGATATTAATTTTTGTTTCGTTTAAATTCATTCAATGCGGTCAACTCTGTCTGCGAGCATAATAAATTGATTTGCATCTAGCTTTTTGTATTGCGGCCATTAATCTATTTTGTGGACGCCACGCCCCTTTCAGGATTTGCTGTTTATTGTTTAATGAATGAAAGAGAAAATTTCAATGGAGGCGTTGCTTGTGCGACGAGTCCTCTAAGAGCAGGAGCCTCGTTTTTGTATCTCTGTTTGCTTTTGTTATGCCTCCTTGCTTTTTGTCATCATGCAGCTTGCAAATTCGCTTTGTTTGTTTTGATCCACCCACACACACAAACGGAAAACTGATTATTAGGGCCTTTGTTGTTGTGCTGCGGTTGGGCTGCAATAAAAAAGCCACTTGTAATATTAATTGAAAGCTAAAGATAAGCTTCTGGAGCGAAAACCTTTCGGTTGGACCGTGGGGCGCAGGGCCACTTCATCATCATTTGTCATTGTCCTGCCTTGGCAGGCGGCAGGCGGCCGCACCCCTTGCACCAGCTCAATGTTTGCCTATTCAATAGGTAGCTCGAAAGATAAGACTTAGAATTGAACGATGCCTATTCGGTAGCCTCAATGCACTCAGATGCACTTCCGTTGAACTTTTGAGCGCCTTTTGGTCTTTTTGGACTCTTTCCGTGTGCAGTCAGCGATGTGCTAATCAAATTATAAATTGTTCCCATCGGAAAAGTCGTTCAGTGCAGTGCCAAGCCAGGCTCTCGAGCTGACATTGTCGTCATCAGCAGGGCCATGGAGATGCCATCATAACTCTGATTCGATGGCGCACAAAAAAACAGCGAAAAAAAGAGCAAAACGCGCCGCGCCTGCAATCATATTTTTTCTCTTTTATTCCTTTTCTCCTCTCTATTTAGGCGCTATAATGGAAAACGCCAACGGATGGCAACACAACTGGGTCGCGCGGCTCCATTTGCAATTGCTGCCCTTTTCAAGTTTTTTTGTGCAAAGTTTGTGCGTGTAATTGAGCGGGCGTCGAGCATCAGGCAGGGATGCAGGGATGCAGGTGGGCAGGCAGGCAGGTGTTCGACTGTGGCCCACAAGGGGCACATTAAACAATGCATTCCTTTAATTAACAATTTTTATGCTGCCCACATCTGGGGGTGTGTGTGTGCGTGTGCAGGACTTTTGTTTCACTTAATTGATGTTTGTATTGACATTCGTTATACCCTAGCCAAAAAGGTAGCATGATTTTTAGCATCTGATTTGACAGAGCTGTCAAATGTGACAGCCCATTATAGTTGATTGTAAACATTCATGTTAGCATGAACCAGAAATGGATGAATCGTATATGTCATTTTATGCATTTATTTAATAATTAACAATTTCGACACAAATTGGCAAAGCACTCCTCTATGACAGATTTTAATTGAACGAAGTTTTCATTCAATTTTCCCATTTGTTTAGTTGTAAAATTATTGTTGAGCAGCCAACGTGAACTAAATGTGCAATTTTATATTTAATCTAGATGATGAATTAAATAATAATCAGCCCCAAATACCATATCAAACATATCAGCCAGGATTTACATGAACTTAGAGACCGATCGGCTTATTTTTATGTAAAATATTAACATTTCTGTTAATATTCTAACATAACATTCTTTTTATGTTAAATGTTAAGATATCTGTTAATATTCTAACATAACATTCTTTTTATGTTGAATGTTAAGATTTCTGTTAATATTCTCATATAACATTATTTGTATGTTAAACGTTAACATTTCTGTTAATATTCTAGCACTAACAACATTTTATAAGTATTAACTTTGAGTTTATTAAAAAAAACTAAGTTGTTTTTTACTAATTACGGATACTAAATATCATAAATTGTAGAATATCAAGTTTATGCTTACAATTATAATTAATGCTAATTTAATTTATTATATTTGACTTAAAGACACTTACCACCATTCAATTTTAACATTCATGTTAATAAGTTCACATTAACATAACAAGGAATATGATGAATTGGTAAAAGTTAGTTATATATATTATATAGACATATCAGGCTTAGCTTACATTAGTTACTCTGTCAACTAAGCAAATTGGCCATTGTTAAGAGTTAAGTTTTGAGTTAATCCCCATGCAAAACAATCCAGATTTAGCTAAGCACTGACACCTTTAGCCATGTCCAAACTTGGCAACTTCCCGTTTGTTTATGACTCAATTGAACAATTGACATATTATGTAGACTAATCCTATTTGGCCAGAACGTAGATTCATATTTCTTATGCAATCATGCAAAATGAAGATTGTTTTTCATGCTGTGCTGCATTCGAAATTCATTTCTTTAAAAGTGAAATCCATTAACACAAATCTTTTTGGTATTTCCTTACCTCTAACGAATTGTGCTTCTTTACTTTTTGTATTTGCGCTTGGTAGTCTCGTTGCTGTTGGCTTGGCATTCAGTTTGTGTTCCATTTTGCAAGGGAAAATCTGCAATCACCTTTGTGATTGTAGTTTGCTTTTCAGCTTTATCGCAATTCCATTCAACAGTTTTCGCTTTGTGCACTAAAAGTATTAAATTTCCTCAAATACTGGCACTGAAATAATCCAAGCAGTTACGTCTAAGACGTAATATTCCAACAGCTGCAACCGGCTGTGGTCGGCCTTTCAAGGGGAATTCCCCTCATTTTATTTCTTTGGTCAGCACTGGCACGTCCTTTGCTCGCACTCATCTAAGCCAAGAGGGAATGCTTTTAATGGTTTTGCAACCATTTCTTATCATTATCAAGGATAGCGTTTAACTTTAAACGACTTTTGTATTGTGGTGCCTCCTGCATTTTCGTTCTTTTCGTTTTGCTTCTCGGTGTTGTTGCTGCTGTCGCTGCTGATGCTGTCGTACAAATTGTATTCGCTGCATTGTCTCGATTGCATCCAGAACTATAATTGTAGAACTGGGCTCTGTAGTTTTGGCGCATTTCCGTCAGCTAACTGTCCTGAATTTCATTGTATTCTTCTGGGAATGTGTGCATACGTATATTCAGAAGCTATGTTTTATATAGTATTTAAGTATTTATTCATAAATATTGTTATAAATATATATATTGCTTTCCCATATTCCAAACATCATCTTCAACCCACAAAATAACATTTCGTAGTCTCAGTTTTAACAAAATCAATAATAATTTACACTAACATATCATTTCATATATTGTTTATGCTATTTTTAATATTCAATAGTAAATAATTGCATTAAAATTGCATATTGACTAGTTTTTGTCCGTTATCTTCCCTGTATGAACTTCTCAGTTTTGAATATTAACCGTCGAGTGCGTATGAGCTTTCGACCTTAAAAATGCCCTTCGTGAATGCAGGGTTGATTTATTTTTTATTTATCGATACCACCGCTAAAAGCATTGCAGCCCTGCGACTATGGTCACATAACATTGGCTGAAAGTGGGTGAACAATGAACAATGCGCTTGCAGACAATACAAAAAATTAACAGACTGCAATTAAAATGAATATATGTATCAATTCATATATATAATAATTTTAATTATATAAATAAAAAATAAGAATGTAAGCGGATCATAATTGAAAATTGTTCAATTGCTCTCATTTTATTTAGATTTCAAATAGATGTCAAATTCACTGTGAAACATGTTTTATATCTCCATTGTGTGCTGACCGATTTTCGTAATATTTTCAAATATATTGTGTAGCAGGAAAAATACCACTAATACAATTTCAGCTCGTGTCATTTGACTAGAAATTTGAAGCCGAGTCACATTGAATTTGAAACACATGTTGAAGCCGCTACGGCTGTGTCGGGGCTTGTTGCAACCGCATTTATCACAAGTTGTTGGAGTCCGTATTAAATATCTCATCTCCACACAAGCGACGATCTTAACACGCTCGTTCTGTGACAAAATGGATAATAAAATCTTACTGGACTCAGCTAAAAGGCTAGCAGCTAGAACCGCCGTTGATCAGTGGGTAACCGAGGATACGAAAGTTTTGGGCATAGGTAGCGGTTCAACCGTCGTGTTTGTCGTCGAACGAGTTGCAGAGCGCGTCTGGAAAGATGGAGCACTGTCCGAATTGATATGCGTGCCTTCGTCATTTCAATCCCGTCAACTCATACTCGACCATAATCTACCTTTGGGAGATCTGGATCGCAATTACAAAGTCGATCTTTATATTGATGGCGCCGACGAAGTTGACAGCAGCATGGTGCTCATCAAAGGTGGTGGTGGTTGCCTGATGCAGGAAAAGATTGTTGCTTCGTGCGCAAAAACTGTTATAATCGTTGCAGACTATACAAAGCAGTCGCTCCGTCTGGGCGAGCAATGGTGCAAGGGCATACCAATTGAGGTCTCGTCCATGGCCTATGTGCCAGTCAAGCATAAGATCGAGGAGCTCTATGGCGGCGAAGCGCAGTTACGCACTGCCTTGAATAAAGCTGGTCCAATTGTCACCGACAATGGAAATTTTCTGATGGACTGGAGATTTGTTGCGCAACGCGAATACGACTGGGACGAGGTGAATAGGACTATATCTATGATACCGGGTGTCCTGGAGACAGGTCTGTTTGTGAACATGGCAGCCAAATGCTACTTTGGCATGGCCAATGGAACCGTCAAAGTGCAGAACAAATAGATCTCTGAATTATGTATTAAAAAAACAAGTGAATTCAACATATTCATTGTTAATCTAAAATGTTGGTTTGTTTACAAAATAAATAACTAAGGGTTACGACCAATATCCTTTACAAAGAAACCGGCAAATGTACTAATGATCTTAGTCTTTAGTGTCTTAGCTAAAACGATTTCTTGCTGCGACCTGGCAGCAACGTCTCCTTAATGTAGTTAAAGAACGACAGGAGTCCAACCTTCTTATTACGTGAAAAGTAATTGCTGACCACATCCGGATTGCTGCTGCCCATGAGTCGCTCATTATTGCTAATTGTGGTGGGCAGCACATTGTCATTGGCGCTGAGTGAGACGAACAGAGCGAAGGGAACCATCCACATACATATAGTAAAGTAGGCCAGTACCTAAATAAGAAATATTCAAATGTTGTGCCACTAGATATGTCTTACTTAATCGCTAAATGACTCACCTGTGTGAAGGGAACATAGACGCTGGTAAAATATTGAAATGCAAACACATGATTAACCACCAGCATTGCCAACGAGCCAATAAACGGCACCGACAGTAATTGAATAAAGGGAAAATTATTCATTATACTGAAATGAAATCCTTGCGCTATTAGTCCACACAGCATCATAGTCCATGGAAAGTCCTCAAAGCATATCAACAGAAGATATACAAATATTGTGAAACTAATCATAAATAGTATACAACGTCGAGCTGGCGTTGTGTATTCCTCTGCCAATTCAGCCAGATAGTAGAGACCAGCCACTATAAGAATGTACATATTAAATATATAAATCATAGTTAGCTGTTAGGTAACCAGTTACCTATAGACAGTGTTATGAAGGTGATCTGTATAGCTAATGAAATCCAACTAAGTATAAACAGAAAGCCCATAATGCTTAAATTTTAAGTGACTTGATCAGGAGCCAAAACAAAACAATGACGCGACACATCGATAACATTGATAGCCGGCGACTCATTGTAGACAGCGTTGCCACACAGTTAATGTTCCAGTTAAGTTCAATTTAATTGTTAAATAATATTTTTAGTTAGAATAATGGCATTTTGAAAATGTATCTAGCGTATATAAACTAGAATGCATTTTCTAAAAAAAAGGTCAATATGACTGCGTAACACTATATCCTTTGACATGGTGTCATAATTTTCTTAATTTGATTCTTTTCGTTGACCATGTACAACAGACTCGTATGTTACTCCTCTCTAAGGTACACGGTCACACTTGTTCATTGCCAAAAAGAGAAGCGCGTGGTTTAGCCGCACGGAATTTGCATATTAATAAACGCATTCGAGGCAAATATAAATATATATATAATTAAATATTTTCTATAGAGTTGAAAGTGCGTTATCAAATACTATCGCTGAAGTGGCAATATTGGCACAACGAGCTAGTGTCGAACGCTTGCATCGTGGGCCGCTCTTAACATGTCGAATACGAATGCCAATGGCAATGGAGGTGTTCCGGGGCAGGAGGAAGACGATGCTGAAATGCCCAATGCACCAATGCAAAATGATGCATCATTCGATAACATTGTGTTTGCAGCTGCTTACCAAAGCGACGACAGCTTGAATGATGCATTAGATCAAGCTGGTCAAGAAGAAGCAGAGGCTGATGCCCACAGCGTGGAAAATTCACCTGAGGCTGCAGGAGTTGATGCTGAAGGTGATGGTGATGGAGATGGAGATGGAGATGCAGGTGACGGAGAAGCCGAAGGCGACGAAGAAGCTGCCGGTGAGGATGACAGCATTGCAGAAGATGGACAAGAGGCTGGCAATGGCAATGCTGATGATGATCCTGCAGCGGACAGACGCACGGCCACTAAAAAGGAGCTCACTCAAATCATTGACAAATGGGAGCAAGAGCAAACACAAAACGGATACGATCCCGTGCCTACGCTAAGAAGGTGACACAAAGCTATAACTATAATAAAATATATTTATATAAACACAACTTTTTTCAGTTTGGCTGAAATATTTGAGCGCGAAAAGGACTCATACATGCGTAAGGATCCGGATCCTTTGGACCTAAGACACCCCTATCGCACCGATCCCAGTTGCCAGTATGGACTATTGTTGAAGTTGCTCTTTCGAAAAGATCAATTTATGGGCAAAGTGAGAAAAACTAATACAATATTAAAAATAAATCTAACGCTTTAAAAATATTTTTAGCTGCTCAACGATTATCTGCGTGATAACTATTTCAGTCGGCAGAGTATAAGTCGCAGCTCTCTGGAGTTGAATATTATTGCATGCCGGCTCATATTAGTCGTAATGCCGGGTCTTGAGACGACGGCAGTATTCCAGACGGCCGAGGAAGATGGCATAATTAATCGTCTCTACAATTGGGCAGAGGACAGCATTGAGCCGCTACAGAGCTATGCTACAGGCCTGCTGGCCGCTGCCATGGAAGTAAGCGATATAGCGATTACTTGTCGAGAACAGAATATGCGGCTGGTGCCCAAGATGATTAACCGACTGCATATGTTGCTGGCTTGTAGTCGAATGAGTAAGAACACCACAACAGAGCCGAGTTCCTCACTCAATAACTCGGCAGACAGCAATATCTCGCCGGGCATGCTCAGCTGGATGGCGTGTGGTGGTGCTGCCTCGGCTCCTCAGTCGCCGCAGCATAATGGCACCAGCGGCAGTGCCTCCAACATGTCCATTTTGTTTGAGAATAGTCGCGATGCGTTTTCTATGTCACGCTATTACAAGCGTATGTATATACCACTGCATCCGCCAACAGCAGACACCAGCCAAATGCTCATTATGCGCTTCCTAACCAGCCTGGGCGAATACCAAGAGTTTTTGGCCATGGCCTTTGGCAATAATGTCATGACGCTGATTTTTGGACATCTAGAGGAGTTAGACAGGCGTGACACATGCCTCGCCTATGAGGTGCTTAAATATCTGGCTTCGCTATTATGTCACAAAAAGTTTGCACTAGAGTTCATATCACGCGGTGGCCTGGAGGTGAGTTCTATTAAAAATGTTTATTGTCTATAGTTACATATTTAATCTCATGTTACATAATTGCAGCTGCTGTTAAATGTGCCGCGGCCCAGTTTGGCCACCACAGGTGTCTCTATTGCAATTTACTATTTGGCTTACTGTGAAGATGCTATGGAGCGGATTTGTAGTATGCCACGTCCTTTAATATCGAATCTCGTTCGCTATGCGCTGTGGATATTGGGACGTTGTCATGACTCTTCCAAGTGTCATGCCACTATGTTTTTCAGCCTGAGCTTTCAATTTAAGGCTATACTCGATGAGTTTGACTCACAGGATGGCCTCCGCAAGCTCTACAATGTTGTAAGTAAACGCTAGAAAGAAATGATTATTTTCAATATTTAATAAATAATTTGTATACTTTTTGCAGATATCGGTACTTAAGATTCTTGACCCCAGTCATAACGATAGCGACAATGGTTCAGAAATTAATGAGGATGTTGAGTGCGCTTCGCGTCAGATGGTGCGACATGTTTGCATCGCCATGAAGCGCTACATGGAAGCGCATTTCTTCTACAAGTACAACAACTTTCTATGTCAGCACTATGCGACCTCTTCGTCCTCATCGCACTACTTTAGTCAACAGCCAACGGTGGCTGCCAAGCTAACCTTCGATCAGTTGCACGAGCAGTTGCGTACTCTTCAAGAGCACACTTCGGTACGTGGGCATTGGGAGCCCGTGGATCAGCTAATGAAGCTAGGTGGCATTACAATGCTTTTGCGCATCATTGCCTTCAGTTACGATTGGGTGAATAATGGGCGCTCAGAGACAGTGCGCTCCGCTCTGGATGTGCTTAGCGTGTGTTGCGTGATACCACGGGTCTACCTGGTGCTTTGTGAGCGTTTGCAGATGCCGGATAAGACGACAACGTCTGGCTTCTGTTCAGTACTAGGTGCAGCTGCCGGGGAAATCACGGCCGACGCTGAGGTGTTGAAATCTGCTCTGGCCGTGCTCTGCCATTGCGTATGCTCGCCAATTATACGGAAGGATAGCAGCAGCAGCAGCCTGTTGAAGTTTGGTAACTCGTCACGCAAAAACAAAGCAAATCAAAAATATGCCGAAGAGCTAATTGAGAAGGTGTGGGAGTCGGTGTGCTCGAACAATGGCATTGTGGTACTGTTATCACTAATGCAAACCAAAGGACCCATCACCGATGCCGACTGCATACGCGGTATGGCCTGTCGTGCGCTGGCCGGGCTGGCCCGTTCCGATCGTGTACGTCAAATTGTAGGCAAACTACCGTTGTTTGCCAGTGGCCAGCTGCAGGCGCTCATGCGTGATCCCATACTGCAGGAGAAGCGAGCCGAGCATGTTATTTTCCAGAAATATGCATTGGAACTACTTGAGCGCATCTCCGGCAAGACAAAGACAAAGGCGCTCACACCGCTCGACCCGTCGCTAACCAACATGCACAAGGCAAACGTGATCGCTCAGACGCGCATTCAATACAACGAACAGCAGCTCTATCAGCTTATTTTTGAGCATTTGGAGAGCAAGGGTCTCAGCCAAACCGCTCAGATGCTGCAGCGTGAGGTGGGTTTGCCTTTGCAGACGACAACGACGCGCAACTTTCATCAGTCGCCCTTCGACTTCAAAGGTTTATCTGGCGTCAGCTCGATGTCGCGCAGTCGTCTAAGAAGCCGAATGCACGATGTCAATGCGGCCATTATGTCCAATGGCGATCAGAATCGCAGTCTGTCAGAGGATATTTCCCCGCACTGCAACACTAACACCGGCACGTCAGGGGCAGGTGCAGGATCTGCTGCAATAGGCGTTCCTAGTTTCAGCTATCTCAGCGCGCAAACGCCTATTAAGCTGCGTAAGACTGAACGTGCCACATCCTCGGTAACACGTTCGCTGCAGAAACAAATCAGCTTGGTTAACCAGGAGTCGAGTGCTGCGGGATTGCCAGACGACTTGATTGTCTCGCCAGCTCTACATCCCAAACGAGTGACACTCAATAGCATTGTAACAGAGTATCTGACAAATCAACATTCGCTGTGCAACAATCCGGTAACCACCTGCCCACAGTTCGATCTATACGAGCCACATAAATGCCCGGATCCACGGCCCAGCCGTCAGGTTAGCTCCAACTATAATTTGACCTCCCGGCATTTTCGCACACAGGCAGGCTTTAATACCGCCCGCTTCGATCGACGTCATGTACACACACATTTCGCACCCTGGCGTACAATGCGTTCAGCTGACTATGATGATCTGGAGTTTACGTGCTGTGACGTTGTGGGCAATTACCTGATCGTTGGCACACACCAGGGCGAAAGTAAGGTGTTCAATATGAACGATGGCGTCGAACAGTTTTCCTCGATTTGTCACTCATACGGCGTGGATGCTATACAAGCGAATCGTGCCGGTGACCTGGTTCTGACCACCAGCCTATGGCGTTTACGCACCACCATTTTATGGTCCATAACAGACAACGAGTTTCGCTCTAAGCTGCGTCTCCCCGAGGTCGGATACTGTGAGTTCAGTCAAACCACACAGGATCGCTTACTGGGAACTCACACAGATGTATGTTAAAATAACTTGATTTTGTTTAAATAATTTTATATTATATATATATTACTTACAGTGCGCTGTTCTGTACGACATCAACACGGGCTCCAAGGTGTCCACATTTACACCCACCATACCCAATCAATACACAAAGAATAGAGCGACGCTGTGCCGCACCGACGAGCTGCTGCTTTCAGGTAATTTCGATGTTAGCGAAAGTCAAAGAAAGTCTATTTAAACTCAAATGTTGCAGATGGCGTGCTCTGGGATGTGCGCTCCGGCAAAGAGATTCATAAATTCGATAAGTTCAATCAATGCATCTCGGGCATATTTCATCCCAATTGCTTGGAGGTGAGCATGAATAACATATGGCTATGTAACGATTCATATTGACTACCCGATATCATCCTATAGATTATAGCAAATACAGAGGTGTGGGATCTGCGCACGTTTCATCTGCTACAGACGGTGCCGGTGCTGGATCAGCGCAACTGCACATTTTCTCCTATGCATGTGATTTATGGTGCCAGCTTAGGGGCTGATAGAGATCATGATATGGAGACAACCACCTACGATACGAGCTTTAATGTTTTGGATGCCTACGACTATTCGAGTATTGCGACAATCGATGTGAAGCGTAATATCAACGATCTGAGCGTCAGTGCAAATGGCAGCTTAATTGCTGTTGTGGAGGATCATAGCGGCTACGATTCGAAGCAGGAGACCTATGTGAAGATATATGCCGTTGGCGTTAAAAAGAGCGAACGTTCGGAAGAGGTGCGTGCGGTTAAGGATCTGGCCGTCGATGAGGGCGTCGTTAGAGGCGGCGGCACGTCCGCATTAGAGGAGCCGTCACCGCCCGCCAATGCACCAGGCGGTGACTCTGCGCTAATTCGCATCGTCGAAGAAGCGGCACGCCCACATACGCCAGAGCCAAACTTGGCTTTGCTCAATGCTGATGCAGATGCAGATGCAAATGCAAATGGCGGCATTGGTGTTGGCGGTGCCGACGACGAGGCGCGCGCCCGTCGTACAAGCCGGCTAAGGCAATCGTCACATGCCAATTCTAATCTGGCTCGCCAGCATGCACCCAACAGCTCAATTGTTGGTGTGCGACGGCGAGCACGTACACTGGGCGGTGCCGGTGCCGGTGCGCCAATCGATCTCAGAACGCTCATGCGGCAGATGGATGATTTTGAATTTAATATTCTGTCTATGCTTGCAGGAAGATGATGAAGAGGTGCCCGAATCCAATGAGGAGGGCTCCGACACGGGCTCCGATACGGGTTCTGAAAATGGTGAGTGATCTGTCAACAAAACTGCTATAATCAAATTTATACTCTACTTACCTCAGCATTTGCATTAGGTCCAACTTTCCTGGGTTTCCCATTACGTAGCCACCGTAATCGCAATTTTATTGATATTGAATCCTCCAGCGATGATGACAACGATAGTGATCTAGAGGATGGGGATGATGACGATGACGACGATCTTGAAATGCTATCCAATGTCGATGAAATTGAATTTGAGGGCGATGCCAGCAGCGATGGTAATATTTATTCAAAATTCCCCCGCACATACACATATATATTGATAATCTTTAAATCCGCAGAATAAGCCGCCCAGTCCATATAAACAACCCTATTTATATATCGCTGCCTTGGCCTCAAGGCTCTATGTTTAGAACACGTCGGGCTCGCTATTATCCGTCTCTATAAAAAAGAAGCTATATCATCGCTAAGTTTTGTTAGCTGTTATATTAAAAAAATTTTTATGTTAATGTTTGTACAAATTAAAGTGTAAAAAGCCTCAAAAAAAACATACAACAACAAAACCAACTTGTTGAAAACCCACTGCATACGAAAAGAAAAACTATTAAAAATAAGAATTGTTCAACAATTTCTATGTGTACAGAGTTTATTAAAATTATATACTTTTCTATTAATAAAACAAAAATGATTTAAATAAAAAACCAAGTGTCAACTGACATGCAAAATAAACTCTCGAAGCACATTTTATATTAAAAATACGTATATTTATATTAATTGTAATTGTAATTCAAAACTTTATTATTAACATTTACACTACATTAATGAATTTAAAAGGAAAATCAAAACTTTGTGTCGGAATTCAGAATTCGAAGTACAAAATAATTGTTTTATATTTCAATTTGTATATTTTATAGACGTTGCACTTTAAATATATTAGTTAATCAGATGCAGCTATTACCTTACAGAGTGCACTGGAATAGTTGTGAATGAAAAAAGGTTTGAACCCATTATGATATGGACACCCGGTAATAGGTTCGCGGTGTTTGCGCAGTTTTTAGTGCTTAGTTTTTATCTTATCTTTGACTCGAATTGAGAAGTGACGCGCAGACCAAAAGTATTCGTTCAATGATTAATCAATTCAGTTGCTTGGCTATGCAATCGCGGTCGTCTCTAAATCTGACAGTTTATCCTTCAGCACATAGATAAATATGGTTATATGCCTTCATTCGGTATTTATCGGCGTTTTGCGGTCAAGTTGAATGCTTTGAATTGAGTCAAAACACACGACTAGTTAGAATTGCGAGCTTTAGTTTCAATTTGCCAACGATAGCGCGCGCACCTCGATAGCGGAATACTTTACATCCACTCGTAACCGAACCATGTACAAATCAAACTATGTCAGGAGTGCTACGCTGATCGCGCTTCTATCCACGTGTTGCCAGGCGTACGAGGAGCGTCCAGATTTCTGCATCGAAACGGAACCAATGCTCTTGTCGGATATAAAACGTCAAATGCTTACTCCTATAGAAAATCGAACAAAATGCAATATAACAGCAACAACTCTGACGCCGAACGAAAAGGTGAGTCCAAATAGGCAAATACGAAATTTGCATTTTAATGAAGCATTAAGCAGTGCGAATTTTTTAATGGATTTCCGACTCAGGCTCATTATAAATCAATTAACGCTAGATATATGATTTATTTTGCACTCATATATTGAGTTATCAAAATAGTCGCTCCAATTTGCTTCCTTATATAGCATTCAATCAATCAGGCGAGGTAAAGATTGAGAGTTCGATTTGGGCAATCAATGTGAACAAGTTGGCCCGGTGTAAAATCCTTAAATGACAATTTCAAGGCACTTGATTCAGTGACATATGTATATATGGGAAATTGAGTTTATAACAACTATTGTATCAAATAAATCAGCTTAAGTCAATAAACACTCGCACTCTATATACTGTGTAGATATTCCCAATTCAATTAAATAAGAGATAAAGAAAGCGGGCAAACGGGAAAGTGTCTATGGCTAGATAATGCGAACAGCTTAGATAACAAAATTATTTATGCGTGTGCTAAATCAAGTATTTTGTGATGAACTAATCCACAGGAAAGACTGTTTGATACCATATGCGAGGATCACGGCTCCTTAACTATCAAACGCAGCAATCATCACTTCTTCAAGCTGCTCAACGGAGAGCTGTTTGGACGTGGAGTACAGAACGAGCTATGCAAAAGCAAAGTTGATTCAGTGCTGGCCTGGGTGCCATATAAAATCATGATGCAAAACTATGCAGCAGAGCTGAATCCCAGTGAGCGACTCAGCTACATTGCCAAGGCGACCAGTGTGGAGCGCGAGAAGACGGAGCTCTGTCATTTCCGTCACACGGATCTGGTCAACAATGTGATGGACAATCTGTTCACATGCGTGGTATTGATCTTTGAGGATAATTTTGTGAGTACAAGGTATATCATAGTCAGGTTAGTTAGATTTAACTCTCCCGCTTTGTAGTACGGCGTTGACGACAGCATAAATGTTCTAGTGGAGTTGCAGCCAGTGATGTACCAGCTCCGCAATATCACCTACCAGCCATGGCGCAACGTAACCAATAGCTATAAAATGCGTCTCGGCGACGGCTTACTCAAGAATCCCAGTGGGCAGCGAAAGCCTATCTATGGCACCCTTAGCTATGCATTTGTTGAAAAGATTCGCTTAAACACGAGCACCATTTACAACAATGAGCAGCTGAATAAATTACCGTTGCTGCTGGAGCACCGCGGCTCTATGGTAGAGCTGGATATAGACGGTGTGGGCGGCATAGATGTCCAAGAACAGGCATATTTTGGACGCACCATGGATGCCCGCAGCGAAGTTAAAGTTCAGGTGATTGGCCAGTGGGTGGATCAGCATCGAGAGATCAGCGCCGACATGTACAATTATTATGGCTTTGGCCTGCAGCACTATAAACAGCCAATATCTGGAGTACAACTGACATTCGTGCGCATCGACGAAACCGAACCAGCATTCGAATCACCAGAATCCGATAATCTGGTGAAAGCGTCATTGTTTAGGGATATGGACTCAGCGCCGGCAAAATTGAGCAAAAATGGTTCCGCGGTATTTACGGAGTGGGAGGTGGATCATCAGCAGGCTGACGATTCGTCCTTCTATCCATGGTTTGTGATCAGTTGCCTGCTCTTTGGCATAATTGTGCTCTTCCTAGTTTATGGAATTGTTCGCGTCTACAATAAAAAAACAAAGGAGAGGCAAAAATATGAGCTAGCCAACACTAGCAGCACGCAGGCTAATGCCGCTTGTTAAGCAATATTTGTATAAGTTCCATACAGAAAATTATACAAATTTCGATAAAAAATTTATTAAAGATTTATTAAATAAAACGAAGTTGTTTATATTTTTTCGACTAGCTGTCAGCTGATTGATTTGCTTGACTTTTGCTGTTATTAAAAAATCGATATCTCTGTTAAGTTACAATGTTAAAACAGTGCGTACGTGACGTCACATTTGCTACGGCAGCTGAATTTCTGCCTTTTTTGACGACACCTTATAAAAGCTTTCATCATGGCATGACAGTCCTTAAAGTATTCGTACCCGGCGCAGCTGTTACGTGGGCGTGTGTGATGCGAGTGACTGTTTTATGGAACATTTGCAAATTTATAAATGTGCCTATCTATTGAGAAGTGCATTGGTGGACGACAGAAAGTCGCAAAAAGTGCAAAAGCAAGGCACTGTGCAATTGTGAAAAAGTGTGTGTTGTATGTTATGTGAAATGTGAATACCGCGAGCTGGCGTCCTGTTAATACACAAAAGGTACGTAACTCATTTCTAGTATCAATCGATTCTTATTATTAATTCGTTTAGTGATTAAGCTTAATTGTTAATTTCCACCTACACAAAGAATTTGCATCTGTGTACGTATTTGTTGTTTGTTTTCTACTCAAAATTTGGTGTGTTTTTGCTTGAGCGAGTTGGCAGTGCCGATAACTATAGCCACGCCACATACGCATATCTCACTCACACAGGCAGAAGACAGGGCGAAGCAAAAAAGAGAGCTCTATATATGTGTAACGCGAGTGTGTGGGTAATCGTCGTTTCACGTCGTTTCAACTAACTCGCGGATTCTGCAGTCGACAGAAGAAGACAAAAGCAGAAACAGTACCACTGCGGTTGCACAGAAATTTCATTCATCGAATTTTTATTAATTTGGCACTGGTCGAAGTCTAGTTATTTCATTTACTTGCCAGAATAACCAACTGGTGCAGCATTTGTTTTTGTTTCGCATCATTTCAAAACAAACTCGCGCTTTAGTGCTTAAAATGTGAAATAAAATGCGTTTTTCGCTTTGAAATTGTGTGACGCGGCCATATTTAAAAAATAATTTAATGTCGAATGCAGTGCAAAGGCGAAGGGAGGCTACATAAATTATATAAATAGTGCTTGGGTAAGTCGGTATTTGGTTTATGTTGTTAAAAACCTTGACCCAAAGTGCGGAAAGTATGAGAATTTAATCGGATAATTGCTTAATGTCTAATGTTACTAAATTCAAAACATATTTGTTTCGTTTGCTGCGAAAGTAGTAAAAATATGATTTTTCGCTCGCACCAACACCAGGATGCTAAATTGTGTATAACTAGTTGTCGTCGTCGTCGTGTCGTGCACACTATATAGTTGTCTCGCTTGCACCGCTAGCGGCGAGTTGCCAGAGCGCTAGGCAAACGTCAGCGCTGCCAGAGTTTCTTAAGCGCCAAAATTTGAAATTATGCTTATCAAAAATTCTCATACAGATTCGCCTTTGGCAAAGGTTTTTATGAAAATCAGGCAACAAGTGGTATATTTCCTAATGATTTTAGAAAGAACCTGCAATTGAAGTGTTTGGTGAAGCTGCCGTCATGATGGACCGTAAGAAGGTGCTTGAATTGGACAAAATCTGTCGCTTATGCATTTCGGAGCGCAAGGAAATGCGTCCGCTGTTTAGTGAAAAAGTGCCCGAAATGCTTATGGACTGCACAAGCGTGAGGGTCGAGCCCACCGAGGGCTGGCCCGATAAAATCTGTGTGCAATGCGTCCATGCAGTCAGTCGGAATCATGCATTTAAATCACTTGTGGAGCGCAGCGACAAAGAATTGCGCGAATATATAAAAAGCCTGACGGTACGCCTCGTGATGGATGAGTCGCTGACGCCACAAGAGCGCAAGCAGCAGAAGCTGCTGCAAAAGCAGCTTAAGCAACAACAGTTGGAGGAGCAGCAACAAAAATTGGAACAACAAATACTGCAGCAACAGCAGCAGCTCCAACAGCAACAACAACAGCAGCAGCAGCAACAACAACAACAGCAGCAGCAGCAGCAACAACAACAGCAACAACAGCAGCAGCAGTCACCTATATATCTTGTGCAGCAGCCACAGCAACTGCAACAGCAGCCACAACAGCCGAAGGTACGAATTAGATCGAAGTACTTTATTAATTTTACTTCATCGATATTCTTGTCTACTCTCAAACAGCCCAAGAGCAAATTGAAACCTCTGCAGCGTAAAGGTACCTCTCGACAGTCAAAGAAACAACAAGAGATGGTTCAGCTTCTGCCGGAACCGGCGCCACCACCGCCGCCTCCACCACTGGTCACCCAGCAGCAACAACAACAGATACAACAAATTCAGCTGCCAACTCTGCAGCCGGCACCTGCGCAACTGATGCCAACAACGACGGCACAGCAAATTCTCTTGCCGAATGGACAGTTTATAACGACGCAAATTGTGACGCCGCAGCTGGCGCAAATTATCAGCCCGCAAACAACGGCATCGAATGCTACGGCGTCGGCACAAGCGCAATTTTTACCACAGTTGCTACAGGCGCCCAATGGCCAAACGTTACAAATTGTTCAGCAGCCGAATGGTACACAGACGTTGCAGCTAGTGCAGTTGGTGCCACAGCGAAGCATCGCCCCGGCGATTACAACGACTACTACAACGGACATGTGCACGACAAGCAGTGGAGCTTCGCTAGCCGATGCGGACGTCCAACTCTTGCACGATGGCGACATGGACGATGATGATCTGGACGAAGTCTACAATCACTTAGATGACAAGGGTCACACGTTTGAGACGATAGTACTGGACGATGATCAGCAGCAAGACTTTCTTAAGGACCAGCATCGGCAAGTGCTCATCGATGACGAATACACGCAAAGCGACACGCAGGAGCAGGAGGCCGACGAATACTTTGACGAGCAGCTGTTAGACCATGAGGATGGGGTCAAGCACGAGGATGACGACGATGACAACTTCATCATAGAGGAAATTCAATTAGATGAGGACGATATGCTGGACGATGCTGATGGAGAAGTAGATGGTGATGCAATGACAAATGTGGATGAATGCGAGTATATAACCGATGAACAGGATCACGGCCTCGGCGGCGATGTCGACGATGAGTTGCATTATGCTATTATGGAACCGACCGATGGTGATGTGAGCGCCAGTGACATGGATCAGACCTTCATAGATGTCGATCCACAGCAGCAGCAACAGTTACAGGAGCAACAACAGCAACAGCAGTCCGTGGACCTGCATAGTATATCCTTGGAAAATGCTGTGGTAGAGTTTGGACAGGACGCATTAGTCGCACCCACGTTACATGTCAGTAGCACGCCCAGTCCTACTCCCAGCTCAGCGAAACGTGCCCGTCGTGGCAACACGCAAGCGCAAACGCAGCTGGTCGAGACGCCTTGTAACCACCAGCATAGTCCACCTACCATAAGCAGTAAACTGGCAGCCGCCAATTCGCGGCAGCTAGTGCAAACTGCGTCAGTGATAGCAGCAGCAGGAGCTGATGATAATTACGAGATAGATGCAAATCTGGTCACGGAATTCATTAAGCAACACACATCACCTCTGGGTTCTGGACGATATATTTGTCACCTATGCAGCACGGAGTTCCGGCAGTTCAAGGGCCTCCAGAATCACATGCACTCGCACACCAATTGGATACGGGCCAATTGCAAAAAGCAGCCACAGTGTGAGATCTGCTTTAAGAGTTTCAAGGGGCCGGGCATGCTGCGCATGCACATGAAGACGCACGATGCTGAGACGAATACGCCGTTGTGCAACATCTGTAATCGCACGTTCAAGTCGAAGGCGATCCTCTACAGGCACAGACAGACGCATCAGCAGCGAGCATATTGCTGTGGCGTGGCGAATTGTCGCAAGAATTTCTCCAATGCGGCCAATCTGCGATGGCACGTAGAGCGCAAGCATCCGGAATGCGTTGAGCCACTCTACAAGTGCGGTGAATGCTCCACACTCTACGATCACATCGACAGTCTGCAACATCATGTAGAGAATACAGATCATGGCAGTAATGTCAGCGAAACGCAAACAATTATCACCACCAACTCCAACGCGGCGTTCAGCGGTGCCGTTAGCATTGTTAGCAATGGCACCGACATGTCCAGCATGATCGCCGCGGCACCAAATGCCCTAAGTGGCGCAACGGCAACAGGTGATACACATGCCGTTGTCGTGGGCTCATCCGGGGAGATGTATTTTGTGACGCAGGCGTAGCCAGCGCAGTTTGCCGATATTCCCGGCAACTCCGAGTGCCTGCTCGGAATGTAAATCCTAAACAGGCATCTAGATGTAAAGAGAAAATAACTGGAAACATATATTTTTATACCACCCCATAGGATATCTATACGTAAATATAGTTTTTACACACACTCTCACACACACCTTGCAATCCTAGTTGTCTGTCATCGTAGCTTGTTCGTAGTACTCGAATTTCGGACGCGGCGTTCAATTGTATAATAATAATTAATAGAAAGGCCGTTTTTAGGCATAAGTTCTTAGGTTCTAGGCAACAATTAACACACGAACCGATTCACACAGCCGCAATGTATTCAAAAATGATATATATGTTATATATATATATACTCTGTATGGCTATGGAACTTTTCGTACATCCGTCTTAATGTACGAAAGGTATTCATTGCGGCAATATATGTAACCAGATTTGAATATCAGACTGGAATTTATTTAGACTAAATTTTTCGGCTTGGTTTTCATTGTTGGGCATTGATTATTACTAAAAACAAAAACGAAGAACTAAATAGAATTGTTTTAATTGCAAATAAAATTAAATAACTATATTATAGCTGTAACTGTTGTTTAACTAATGTGTATTTTCAAATATACACAAACACATAACACTTTAAGCCGCTTTTCTTTTATTTTTTTTTACAGTTAGCTGACTCAACAGCATAAATTGTCGGGGAAAAGCAATTGTAATTGTCAAGGTCTCATCGTTCGTTCATCGATTCCCTTTAGCAACGACACGTGCCCAACCGGTTAGCAGCAGAGTTTACATTTAATGGGTATTACAAATGTATAAGCTGTTCTAGTTTATCATTCCGGGTATTACGCTTTGAAATCAACAAGTATATTTATACTCTGCGATATCGGATATGGCTACTTAGAAAGGTGTTCAATTTTCCAGCATATAAACGTATATATTTGTCTTGATATGGTTAATATTTTAATTACATTTATTTTATGGTTAAGATAGAATTTTGGGTTTTAATTTACTGCTTCAGCTAAGCGCTTAATCTGAAATTTGATTCCTTCTGATTAGGAAACCTAATAGCATTTAAATTTTCCTGAATCAAGGTTGAAAAGCGAAGAGAAAACGTAATTCAAACGCTCATTCATGTATTTTTGTGGACTAGCTAAAGCTTACATTGTTTGTATTATTATTGTTGCTGGGGTTGGCTTTGGGTCTTCATACCCTGTACATATTAATAATGCCACAGATGGCATAGATGACTGCTAAGTGTGTGTTAATTTAAACAGACTTGCAGGAGATGTGCTCTAAGCTTTTTAAATATTAATTTTTTATAGATATATAAACAAATGTTATGGAAGAATGCAAAAAATCAGGATAGCGCACAAACGTGATTTCAATAATTAATCACTTTTATTCAAGTTTCGAAAAAGTTTGAAAGTTGTTAATTCTATCCTCTCTCGACTCAATTCAGGTTAAGATGGTGTTCGAAATGAAGATCCTCTTTAAGTTGTAGAGGAACTAATGTTTATTTAAACTATGTTAAACTAAAATTTGAAAGGAAAACGTGATGCAAATGCAAAATTCAAATCAATCTTTTGTTTTAATTTTTTTCTTTAAATTTAATTTTCTGTACATTTGCAGCTTTCAAATAAGTCGTTATATCTTTGAAAAACTGGCTTGAATACAGGTCCTGGTTTTATTTATGAACACAAAAAGTTCGAATTTGATGGTCATATCAGTGTAGGATTCATATCAGTGTTACAGTATTTACGAAAATTAAAACAAACTTAGTCAATGCTGCTTACAAGATATTTTCAAGTCGAACTTTCTTTAACTATTTGATTAAAAGCACAACATAAAAGTCTAAGGTATATATGCATATATAAGTAGCTACAAGTATATGTGGCACAATTAGTTACAGGATATGCTTTAGTCGTGTTTGTTAAACAATTTACAAATCGCAATTATTCATATTTTATTATATATGGCTAAGTAATTTTAATGTATAAATAAGTGTATATGTTGTCCGGCTGGGTACAGGGTATATCTTAGCTGCCCTGTTTTAACGAACAATGAAAAAGTCACAGAAGTTATAAGTAACAGTATACACTGTACAGTATAGACTGTATACATATAAATCTATGTCTGTAACGCAACTGTTTGCAGGGTGTCTTCTAGCCATGCCTATGTTGGCTTTCTGGATTACTCAGTGCGTCACTTAATGCGCAGCAGTTTATGGTATTCTGCAGCATAGTTTACAACGCAATTCGTTAATTTCGTCGGCCTTTAATGATCTGCTGGTTCTGCTGCTGCTGTAATTTGGCCTAAAAACCCAAAACTAAATATGATTTTCTTTGTTTGCTTGCAGGTGCCATTCGGGGCATATCAGTGGAGCACAGGTGAGTTAGTTGGACACACGCTCCATCTATAAATAGTTATCAGATGTTAAACTCAAGTGCACACTCGCCTGGCTTACTTGTGTCAATATTATTGTCCAATTTGATAATTATTATTAATTAGCAGCAAACCTTAGCGAATCCATAAGAAAGGCTGACACTCGAAAATCCCATAAATTTCGCATTATTTATGACGGAATTGATTCGTGCAGACCCCATTACCCATTAAGTATTTACTATAGATATATGACAACTCGATTAGATAAGCATTTGCAGTGGTCTTCAGGGGGCTCCGTTCCTTGGGGCGTGCGTGACTGCGAGTTGCTTGCGCTAAACGAGGAATTAAGAACAATTTGCTACTATTAACTAAGCTACGCATATATAAATATATATACTATATGGTTCACATGTCAAGTGCTGTTAGAAATCAATAATGCAAAGGGTAGGAAATTCCAGATAGGAATTTCTCATGACATCATTTACAATTCGAATTTATCTAGTTTCGGGTTGGGTTTTGGTGTTTGCTCTGAAAAATACACATGTAAATTACTATAATCGCAGAAGTCTATGATATATCTTTATATATATACTTTATTTATTTATTAGCCAATTTCCTTGAAATGTTTAAATTATGGAATATTTATGCATCCTTGAACTTTATAAAACACTCGAAAGAAATGCCAAAAGCTGTGCAAATGCTTAGAGATACAACTTGTATAATAAATATATATATATATATATATATATATCTTTATATATATTCACATTCATATTTATAGCAAATATTTTAAATGTGCGCAAAAATCTAATTGAAGAAAATAATGAATCGCGATCATTTTCAGGTTTTCCGCACATGCGAAACTATATCAAATTTAATTGATTTGACATGCTAGAACAAATGTCTATATATACATATATATTCTTATATATGTGCATGATTTCAGTTGGAAAATTCTTTTGATATGAGTAGCGGAATTATAATAATTAAATGTTAAATATGCTCATTAAAATTAAATGCATATTTGCGCATAATAATATATATGTATATATATATATCTTATATCTAGATTCGTGCCAAATGTGAACGTATTTCAGGCATGAATCATTCTGAATAGCATCGTTGCTTTATAACCAAGGGGTATTATATATTTTTGAAAATGTTCATGAAAATTAATTGAATAATATATCACAACACCTGTAGGCTCCCAGTATTTAAATTTTTTAATGGGGAATGTAATATATTACAACATAAATGAGATGTTATCTAAACTTACTGGAAACATGTGAAATATCAATATAATAATGCTGTTAAAATTTATATAACATATGCATCGAATTGCCAAACGAAGCAGTTTCAAATCTATGAGCTATGGAAATATTTTAACCTAATGTATTTCCATTAAATCAAAATTAAGTTTTTGAAGCGTTTCAGATATTATCGGTGATATACCTTCTCTATTTGCCCAAAATTACCTAATACTGAGAGGTCAGGGTATTTTCCAGTTGACATTCCCGATAGAAACACTTTTACTTGTTAAAGTTGTGATATTATTAAATAGCAATTCTAATTATTATTGTTTATTAAGAGATCACCCTTAGCAATCATTGGGCTGCCCATTAACATTCATAATTTGTTTATATTTCTTCATTTGTTTATAACATTTCGTAAAAACAAATAACAAGCTCTTATTGCAGCTGACGGGGCAGCTTTTTGTTTATGTCATTAAACAGATTGAAGAAGCAAACGTTTGCCTTTTCCGACGCCGGAAGAAACTGAAAGCGAACGATGCCCTTCTCCTAACCCCCCAACCAGTTCGCAGTTCAGTTGAGTCAGGAACGATTCACCATAAATCATACGATTACGTATGATGCGTATGGCGAGGGAGGGAATCTTTTTGATGTAGGTTCTGGTCAACGTTTTGTTGTTGCTAAAAATATGCTCAGTCCCGCCTCTCTTTGCCATTGCTGCCATTGACGTAAGCGAAGAGAAAAACAAAATATTTCTAATGCATTACAATTGGCTGCCGAGGAGGTATATAGCAAAATACAAGACATTAACAATAATTCGAGTACTTAGCAGTCTGCGTCTGTATTGGTCTGATTTGGTTTTCGATTCGTATACCCTAACTACATATGAGCATAAGGGTATAATGGCTTGGAGCAGTTCTATGTAACATGTAAGCGATTCTATAAAGTATGTAGACAACGAGTTGACTATGGATAGATTAGAGACATTAAATATTAAATATTAAATTTTAAGTATATATCATATATCATATATAATCATAAAGTTTCAAATATTCTATAAAGTATGTAGACAACGAGTTGACTATGGATAGATTAGAGACATTAAATATTAAATATTAAATTTTAAGTATATATCATATATCATATATAATCATAAAGTTTCAAATAAAATAAATATAAATTTAAATGCTGAATGAATCTAGAGCAAAAGGCAGCAAATTTCTTGATTCTATTTCAATTGAAGGGCATCTACTAGTCGTGCACCCTCGACTGATGCTCGCTTGTTTTTGTTTATATTTTATTTCTTTTGTGTGTCGACACGTCAACGAATTTCCTTTTTGCTTATACGCAACATCACGAATTTGCAATTCACACTATGATTCGCACATTGTTTTTACGTGTGCCCTACACTAGTTGGGGTATATCGGTTGAGCGCTCAACTAACGATACGCTTTAGAGTTCCAACTCATGGCTGTAAATATTAAAGTGAGAATTTCATGCTGAAATATATATGTCATGTCAATATATATATCTTTATATATTTAATTGAAAATTCCTTTGACCTACTATTTTATAGCGCATCCGGCTGTCGAGCTAGCTGGTTGGCAGCCTTGCTTTATTTATTTTTCTTATCGTTGGCATTAAATTAAACTTGATCTGCACAGGTATGTGTGTGTGTGTGCTTGTACATACAGATTTACAAATGCTATTCAAACATTTATGTAATTCATATAATTATAGTCGCACTGCCGATTCGGAGGCATTAATTTTAGGTTGGCCGCGCAGCTCTGCCAATGCATATATCAAGCATATATATGCATAGAATTTTGCGTCGTAAATTCGTTTCCGTTAGCATGCGAAGGAATTATATAAATTGAATAAAAAATAAAAAGA